AAACTGCGCCTCTGCCGTACAGTGGATACAGACGAAAATCGTTAATACCCACGGCGGATCTTTAAATAAAGAAGTCGAACGGCTCGCGTTTACGTACGTACGTACAGTTCGTTCGTTCGTTCGTTTTCGCGTGCGAGGCGTATGCAAATTCCCTAAAACGTGGCTGGGAACGCGGAAACGTTTCGTGCTGCTTTTAAAGCGTCTCTGCAGACACGGAATAATTGAATCGATCTTTCGCGGGCACGCACGACCTTTGACCCCGTGTCAGAGCACCGCGTAAAACCGAAGTTGAACTGGTCGATAAATAGACGAGAATAGTCGCCGGCGCGAATCGTCCATTGAATTATTTAACGATATGGATTAGGACCCCGGGATCCTAATTTTCGCGACACTTTCAAAAATAATCGCCACGCTGTTCACTTGACGAAGCAGCAACAGCAACAGCGGCAACGTGCAAACGGAGGGAAACATTTGCGTTACATCGAAACGCGCGCGCGAGCGAAGCATCAATATTTACCGAACGGAGCTTGGAAAATAAAGTTTTCGTCGCGGTCGCTATTGATTTTGCACCCTTAAGCAGCCACGATTCGACCATTTGCCTTCGCGTCCCTCCCCCACCCCTGATAAATATTATTCTTGGAAACTTACTTTTGCACCTGCACCAAACCAACCACGTTGGGTTGCCGAGCTTTCGGTGCTACTACCTCGTGAAAACAAGGCGAATTGACACTGTATAAAGAGATTGACAGCTGGTGAATTCTTCGAAACGTGAAGTCGAACGTGATCTCGCTGAGGAGGCTTGTCCAGAGAGGAGACGTCCGACGACTGATTGCTTGGCAAAGTCTCACCGAGGGGATCCAGGGCAGGATCTATTTTCCTCCACGGGGCCCGAGTCCCCAGCGTCGAATATTTTACCGTCCGCAATCTCGGAGCTAAGACAACGTCCCTCGAGGTCCCTTAAAGTAGTTGTTCCAAAAATGATCTCGCATCCTCTCGCAGTGGCCTTCGTGATTGGCCTCTGTCTTTCTCCGTCTTCGGCGGAGTTTCGCGAAAGCAACATCAGATGCAAGGAGAGAGAGAGAGAGAGAGAGAGAGAGAGAAAGAGGAAGCAGGACAAGGTGGGAGGTGGCAAAAGGACGCCGATGAGGTTGAAGAGTCGTCGTCGGTGTAGTAGACGGCAGCGGAAGAGGGGAAAGAGGGAAAAGCGGAAGAGAGGTCGACGACGAAGAGTATATCTATAGATAATCGAATTTACGGAGGGAAATTGGCGAGGGAAGGAGATAGGATAGGAAGGTAGGAAGGAGCGTGAGAGAAGGACAGAGATGGAAGCTGTGCCACGTTGGCAAACCCTCTTGCCTTCTCATCCTCCACGTCGCTTTTCCCATCTTCCTCTGATCCTTTTGCTTATCCTTTGCCGCGCGATTACTCTCTCTCTCTCTCTTGCTAGTTCGTCTGCTGCGTACTCTCCTCCGTCAACTGAGTCTGGCAGCGGAAGAGGCAGAGGAGAGTGTGCGTGTGTGTCTGTGTGTGTATGTACGCGAGAGCGACCGACACAGCAGGACCAAAGATGGGACAGAGAGAAGGAGACGATGAACACAGCCACGGAATACTCAGTGACGTCGACGTACACGTAAATGCGGAATATTTGATGGGCTGTCAGAAGCAGTCTCTGTAATCAGCGGTCGGTTTGTTTGCGCTACCCATACACTCCCCCGCGTCTATGTGCCGTGGAACAGCCTCACCTTGCTGCATCGCCAGCATCCCACGGTACACGCGCGTGCACCTGAATGCGCGGCCGCGCATCCTGCACCACGCTCTCGTCCCGCCTCTATCCCCGTGATTTTTACGTAATCGATTAATCACGGGGTCACGGAGGTTCCTCGAAAGGAAGCGCCACGCTGCGTTGCGTCGCGTCGCGTCGCGTCGCGTCGTTGCCCGTGATTATCGATCGAGATGCTCGCAGTTCCGTGGAAGCAACGGAATTAATTACGCCTGTCAAACATCCGTGACAGGAAATTGCCGGCAAGGCGTCCCGAATTATTTCTACTCCTCGTTATGTGAACTTTCGCGTCATTGATCGATGGAGGGCGATCGCGTCACAGACTCGATTTCATCGCGAGATAAACCCTCTCTGCGAATAAACTTCTGGCAACCGTCTGCGAGAACAGTCAGACGATATGAAAGATGAACGACGAAAGAGCGTCAACTGTTGATTATGTAATATTCAACGGGACGCCGACAGATCTTTCTGTTCTTGTCACGGTGGAAAAAGGACGAGTCGGGTCGTTTAATAACCTCGGCGATCGGCGCAGCACGAGCGAGCACCTATTAAAGAGGTTTCTTCTTTTTCATTCCATCTGTTCGTTTTCGCTCCAAGCGGAATCGCTCAATCGAATAATAAATACATTAACATCCTAATACGCAGTCCTTTTGTACCTTTCCCAATATTTTTCCATAACATTGTCCTACCATTTTTCTCTTTATTTTCATAAGCACTAGACAATCCGAAGAAACCGTATGCAACGAAACTCATCGGAACTATCTCATGGTTTACGAGGCCGCGATCGCGTTCCATTCGCTCGCCAGAGCTTGATCTCACGGCGCAAATTCACTGGCCCGATTGCCGGATCGTTTTGCTTCTCACTCGAGTTTATTGGCCATCGCCGGTGGCCGAGGGAAGATGAGACCAAGTTTCGTTGATAGAGTTCATAACTCGTGAAACGCCTACGGAAGTAACTTCGTCGATATCGACCGAATAACCGAACGAACGAACGAACGAACAATTCTCATCCGGTCCACTTGACGCCTCTGTTTCCTTTCTTTTCAGCTTCGGTCTATTTGACTATGCTAAATAGTCTTTCGCGAAAGAGTCTCTGTCCGATCCGCGAGAGATAATTCCACTCGTCAAAGGGAAACGCTTTCCTCGCCGTCTCGTAATGTCCGTCTCCTCTGCCTTCTCTCCCCCTTTCTCACGTAATAACACAGAACTCGCGCGAGCAGCAGCCCGTGTTTCACCTTCTCTCCATGGAAATGCCTCAGCTACGTACGATGTAGCGCGGCTATGTATGAAATTAGCATTAATACAAGAAAAATACGAGAATACCGGAGCCAACGTGCGGATTATTCGTTCGTTCCGCGCCATTTTCCATCCGCGTCATTATTATCGTTCCTACTTTCGACCGCCCTTTCGTGCCCTCGTCCAAACCGAAATCATGAAATCTCGAAAATGCAACGTTGACCGCGATTCCAGCGATGAAAAGCAACGCGTCCAGCTTATCCACTCGCGAGGAAGGGACAAAATTCCTCGCAAAATAAATTCGTCGCTTATCCAACCTGGTCTACGTTCTAAAATAACAAAAAAAGAGAGAGAGAGACAGAGAGAGAAAGGAAGAAGTAAAACCGAGAGAGAGGAGAGGAAATATGGAAAACTGGGCGTCAAGCGAGATTGAAATTTTTACATTTCAATAACGCGCTCGTTATAATCCTCCTCGTTCGTGACTTCGTGGCTGGAACCGCGTTTGTTTCGCCCCCCGCTCCTCCTCCCGAGAATTATCGTCAACGATTTAACGGAATTTAACGGCAGTTGAGGCTGTCACAAGCCTGAACCGGAGGCCGGGGGAACCGGAGATTCGACGATAATTCCGCGACGCGACCGGATGTCTTATTAATCCTAAGAGCCATCTTCAATTTACCCTAGAGCAGCTACAGCCTCGCGTTGTGCTCCTTGGCTGGTAGTAGATTACTTCGCGCCGAGGCGTCAGCCGCGACGAAAAGTAAATGGTCGTTTACCGGTTAATTGCGTGGCGGAACATCCGTTTACACGGGCACTCGACTCGGGTGGTAGGGAACGAATGGAAACCAATTTGATGGGAACGGAAGCTGGCGTGAAACGCCAGTCGAAAGTCGTGGCACGGAACGTGCCGAGAGAGCACCACCTCGCGAGACACTCGAGAAGGAAATCGAGCGCGGAAGTTTCGTCGATCAAAAAAAAAAAAAATATATATATATATTTCACCTGCACGAAAAAAAGAAAGAAAAAAAACAAAAGAAAGGCTCCCCTTCTCGCCGTATCGAGCCAATTAAATTTCCCCTGATATATACGCGCGTTCGAACCCGCCGCCCATTTACCGCGCCTCCACCAACCCTCCTCCTCCCCCTCTATCTATCCTCCGCGTTGTATCGGGAAACTGTTTGCCACGTAAGTGAATCGTACTCGAGGACTGTTCCGCGAAAGTCAAGCAATTACGGAACGACCCGCTCTCGGCGGAGAGCTCTCTTTCCTTCCCCCGTAGAGAGAGCTGTTGCTTCATCGAATGGGAAAAACGGTGTATTCAAGCCGTTAGAGGTAGACTTTTCTTTCTTTATTTTCCTCGTCCGTGCGTCTTTGCTTGGAAAGGCGGAAGAATACATTCGCTGGCTTATTTTTCGACTTTAATGGCCGGCCGAAAACAGCACGCCCGATGCACTTTCTATTTGCCGTCCTCTTTGAAACTGTCTTCGCTTCTTTCCCTTCCTCTTTGACGGACGCGACACACTTTTCGCCGTGACGTCGAGAGAAGAAGGGGGCGGGACAGAAGGCTGGTTTCCGATTGAGGAAACAGAGAATTAAACGGAGTTTGCGGCGGCGAAACTGCATTTTCGTTGGACAAAGGGATCGATAACTCGTTTCTTGCGGCCGGCTCGTTCTCGGTAAAAGCGACCCGGAGATGCTCCGCGTGATCAAGATGAAGTGAAACAACGTGCTGTGAAAAGTGTGGCGATTCACGCTCGACGACCTCCATACGCCAAATAAGAAAAAAAAAAAAAAAAATCGGGTCGCAAACCGATTCGATTCAAATCGATAGATTTTTCCACCACGTCACGCGATGGAATCTCGCGAAATCTCGAGGATCAGTCATCGTGTCGGCGCACGGCGCTGAAGGTGGAGGAGAAATTTCGCACGCTGCTATCGGTCCTAAACTTTACGAGGCTACAGGCGCATGCTACAAATTCGTACGTATCTGGTGACGTTCTTACCTGTTGGTAGGGGTTGGATTGCCATACGCGACGCACGGTATCACAATGGTGTCTTTCAACCGCGCCGACATATACACCACCTTCTCGTTTATCATCGGATGCATGGTGCTGCGTATCTCTGCAAGCAAGGAAACCAGAAAAGCGATCGCATAAATATATCCTTTAATGATAGCGCGCATTATCAAGGTTGAAATTACAATGGAAGAAACACGGGCGAGATTGTAAATTAATCCTTTTCTTCTATCAACTGCCAGTAATTTATTTACGAAGCATCGCTTCGAATGACATAGAATTGAAAATAATACTATTCAAATGGTATTCGACGTGAAATTTTGTTGACTATATCTTTGTAACGTGTAATTCTAACATATAATTTAAAGCAATCGTCAACGTGCATTGCAGGCTTGCTAGAAACAAATATAAAAGAGTTAATAACACATAGTTTCAATCCCTAGAAAAATAATATCCTCCACTGGTTTTATAAAGATCGGTTTATGTGAATCACTGAATGTCAATTGACTCAGGACTGTCTTTAGAAATTTCTTCTTTCGGAAATTCTTTTGTTCTTCCTACGTCGTTATTATAACTTTCACTTTAGATGTCTAGCGAGATATTATACTACATTATACTATTATACGTCGCATCATTATCAGCAAATTATAAAAAGAGGAAGATTTAAGCCACCTCAGAAGTCGAGTGCAAAGGATCAAAGCATTGAGTAAAAATATTGATCATTTCAATTGCAGTCATCGTACGTGATTTAGACAAGCATGATTCAAGTCAAATTTTTTTGATTTCACGCTTGATATCAAGTTCATCGATCGATATTTATAAATCAATATTTAAGAAGATATATTAATTGACTTCACACTTTGTCTAAATTTCTTTCGGTTTTAACTCGACTGTAAAGGAAGAATCGGTAACAGGCTTGCAGTCCTGGCAAGACCTCGCTGCCTTATCTTTCCCCGAATTATCACAAATTTCAATTACGATCAGAACCCCGTGTACTTTCAAGCTTGACTAATTTTATGACCTCGCTCTATCTCTTCCACCAGGAATACCTGGACCGTAAAGAAATTACGGGCGCAATGCGGTTGTTTATTGATACTCCGCGGCATGCTATTTTAATAAATTCTACTTTCCTATGCATTCCCTGGGCAACCTGTACGACGCACGTACGATGCTCTCTGTTACACGCGCTATTTGGAACGTCGTTAAATTTTGCGTTTCAAGACTTCGTTTTCTTCTTTCCTCCTTTTTTTTTTTTTTTTTTTTTCTTTGACCTTTACGCCTTCAAAGCTCCGTGTCTTTTGAAAGGGAAACAAGGGTTTTCCGTTATGCATGGCAATTTGATTAACTTTGTAGAAAATTTCAAAGGGCTTAAATTGGACGTGAAAATCGTTACATCATCGTCGCGTGACCCTTGTTAAAACCTCTGATGTTTATGGCGGAATATTTGTCACCGAAAAAAAACTGAACTAAAAAAAAAAAAAAAAAAAAAAAAAAAAACACTGATTGGACAGATCATTTCTGTCCATGATTTCGTTTTTCGTTAGCTGGACTCCGCGACGGGACAGCAAAGTGCAAAACCTAAAATGCCTATCATCTAAAATCCAATGCGTAAACTTCGAGGAAAGCTAAATTTCATTTCTCAAGAGAAAAGCAATTTCTGACCGTGTGATAAGTCATGGACAATCGACAAATATCTGTCTCCCTTTTCAACGAACTCGATCCTCCACGATGGAAGAATCTCTCGGAGCGAAATTTTGGACAATGCGGAAGGAACAGGGTATTCACGGAAGCAGGTATCCCGCCACTCTTCCAACGGGGGCTTCCTCGACTCCACCATCCGCTCCCAGATGAGTTCGCGCAAGTTTTTCCCCGCGACGCACGCGAAATATATTCCGGCAGACGAGGACGAAATTGAAGGAGCGTGGAAGAAGCTGCGGCGGTGAACAACGAAGGTTTTTTAATAAAACAGGCTGCTGAGTTAAAGACCGACAGGCTGTATATTACCGAAATGAGATCCTTCTTTTACACGTTCCGTGTTGGGCCAATTTTTGATTTTTAAGGCCGTGTGGGCCTTACTATAATACTACTATAACTTTGCTTCTAATGTATATAATACTACTATAATTTTGCCTTACTATAATACTACTATAAGTTTGCTTCTGATGTATATCTTACAATTTTCATAATAGTGCAAAAACTATAATTATCAAGAAGAGTGCCTAGTGTTTCAGATGCATTACGGAACGAAGCAATAAATTTAATTTTAAAGTATGATTTCTTATTTCTAATGACGTCAAAATTAATTTAAAATGAAACACTTTGTTCCAACTATTTTTGGTATTATTGTTTCAGTTTTAAATAATAATAAATAATATTAGAGAGTAATAATTTATTGCATAAATTATATAATGGTATACAATAATACTAAATATTAATAACTAATATTTACTTTAAAGTTATTTTGATAACAAATTTTACAGCGTTGTCTCAAATGTAGTCGATCTTAACAGTTTTAAGAGTCGATCGTCACTCCCTAGGATAGGATACGCTAGAATAGGATAGAACGCGACGTACATTGGTTATTAAGATGTCAATACACAACTTTATAACAAAATCTCTCAAAAATTCTTCGTTTTACAACGAAAATTCCAAATGACTTGAACGGATAGTTCACGTTTACTCCGCACGTGGCACGGAACGTGTTAACGGGAGGATCATCGCCTTTTTTTTCGTTGAACACGCGCTGTCTCTGTGTATTGGACAACCGCGACGTGGAAACGATACGTGGAACATAAAACGAGTTAAAAAAAGAAAGAAGAAACCAATATTGGATTACGCTATTTGGAAATTTGATAGCGACAATATCTGGAGATTTAACGAAGGGAAAAGAAAGGCTCGTGGAAGGAAGGAAGGAAGGAAGGAAGAAAGGAAGAGGGGGAGGGGGAGGGAGGGAGGAAGGAAATACATCCTCCGAGATCGTCGGCGAAACAGATACATATATATACACGGGCGTGTGCACACGTAGAGGCGAAGTCGGGGGGTTACTTCGCGGCGCAGACACAGCCATCCCCCTGTTGCCGTTGCACCTCCTCCTCCCTCAGGACGAGTTCATGTAAGTTTGTTCCATGATATACGGGAAATGTTTTCCACGGCGTGTCATAAATAGCCGCCGGCTGAAAAAGGAACGCGGGAACAAAGGTTTCTGCCTTCGTGGTAAGGCAGAAAGAAGGAGGGATAGGTGAGAGGAATAAAAATTGGAAGAAGAATGGGTACGGCGGAGGTGGAGGGGGGGACATAACCGAAAGAAGGAGAAGAAGAAAAAGAAGAGGAAGGAAAAATAAGAAGAAAGAGAGGCGAGCGTCAGGCCGACGTTTAATGGAGAATTATGGTCGGAGATAGTGGTGTTCGTCCTGCGACGTGGCGTACCGTAAAGGGACAGATAACACCGATGTACGTATCTCGTCCCCGTTCACCGAGAATTTCAAATCACCCACCACCGCCGGCGTGGCACCTAAATTCACTTCCCTTCCCAAGAAACCGACGACTTGTAAAACCACTTTGTCTATACCTTCGTGTCTATCCGAATGCGGCAACGCCAGCGTCAATGAAATCGCGTTTAACTCATTCGTTTCATTAAGATTTCATTAACAGATATTCGCATAATTAGCGACGGTTGGAACCGCGGCGGCGCGTGCACGCACCATGGAATAACGTCGCAATAACGCGCTAATGAATATTACAACGAAACGGGTTCGCGAAAATTCGCAATGGAAGCGACGGCCGGTCGTAATTAAAGCGAAAAACGTTTTTCGCGGATCGACCCTGGGAACCGCGTCATTAGCTCGTGCCCCTGCCTCCTGCGCGTGTCTCGTCCTCCGCTTCCGGCGTGTGTTTCCGCGAAATCCGAGCCCGGTGTCTCGCCCGCATGTTTCGATGCTTCGACAAGGCCCGACGCTAGCGATACGTCGATCGATCACGGCCGATAATCGCTCAGTCGGTTTTTTCTTTGACCGAACAACACGCTCTTTCTCTCTGTTTACGGTATACGAATTCAGCAGAACAACTTAATGACAATGTTAGGACCAAGAGTGCGTATAGAGTTATGGCATGGATATGTGCTCCAACCCAGCGTAGAAAATCGGGAATTGTACTACATAGAAAGCTCCAAACAAGGTGCCCTATGAATTTGGATCAGTGTCACCATGTCACGACGAATGCATACTCGAAGGATTGTGCACGCAACGGATTCAGATTTGAAGAGAAAGATATTTTAATCGTCTATGGATGCCAGAGCAAACGGCGTTTCCGCGACAGAGAAACGCAAACGCGCGACGAGCCTATCACGTGCAGATTCTTATCTCCGAGATGGTGCACACACACGTCCGTTTACCGCTCGAGCATCGTGCAACTAACGACACGACGCTGACTGGCTGGCGCTCTGACGATATAGAATTATACCGCTGGATTCGCGATACGTGACCAGCCGAACGCCGGTCCGAAAATTTTCCACGACCAGCGCGCAGATAATTCAGAAAAGTTTGCTCGTTACCCGGAGAAAATCGCTGTGCATCGCTGCGAGGAGGAGTTTTCGGTTAATTCGATGTACTCGAAACGGGGAGGGAGACGAAGAAACGGGAGCGGCGAGCAACGACTGTTCAGGAATATGCAAACGGTCCGGGCACACCCCGAGGAACTTCATTATTAAGTTGGTAAGTATATAAGCGCGCTTAGCATAAATTTCTATATCCAACCGGTCGGGCCGGGTTTTATTACTGGGTGAGGCAATCGGGCCGACCAATGGCTCGCGACAGCTGTTCGCTTTTCGCCAGATCGTTCAAAAACGATCCTCCTTTGCTGCGTGCCGTCGCGGTTCTTCGCCCGAGGGGAGTTTAATCAAGCGCTTTGTTAACGGGAAAATTTGAATTCGCTTGATTACGAAAAGGAGTAAAATATGACGATAGAATGGAAATTGAGAAGAATGAGATCAAGAGTCAAGAGAGAGAGAGAGTGTGTGTGTGTGTATGTGTGTTAAAGCCAGTAACGACTGTAATTTATGAGACGAAGACGTTTTTAGAAATTTTATATTCTATAACACATCGGATGCAA